ATGAGTGTGTACCTCGATCGAGACAGAACAGACAGGAGGAAAGGAGGATGATAAAAAGAGAGTGCAAAAACGAAAGGAGAAATGGAGGGAATGAAAAAGGAGAGAAGAATAACCCAGGAACAAGTGTAAGGAACAAGCACACCCCCCATAAACACCTGCAGAAGGATTCCACACATGACACCCCAAGGCAACTGAACAATCCAAACCAACCACACCACAACCGATCCTCTGTTCCCACCCCCACACCACAGTTACCAGTATTAGAACAGAAGTTGAAGGTTTGGTATACAAAATAACATAAGAACATAAGAACGAAAGAACACGGCAGAAGGCTACTGGCCCCATGCGAGGCAGGTCAAAGTCTCCTACCGGCTTAACCATGCACCCAACCAGTCAGGTTCAGGTCACACTGACTTAAGTGGAGGATACACGGCAACCGGACCTGGAATGCACAAGCTATCAGGTCCAACTCACACCCACACCACATCCACTCATTTATTTACCAACCTATTTTTTAACGCTACCACAACGTTCTGGCCTTTATAACTACTCCGGAGTTTGTTCCACTCATCCACAACTCTATTCCAAAACCATACTTTCACTATATCCTTCCTGAATCTGAATTTTTCCAACTTAAACCATTGCTGCGAGTCCTGTCTAGGCTAATTATTTTCAGCACACTATTTACATCCCCGTTATTTATTCCTGTCTCCATTTATACACCTCATCATATCCCCCCTAATTCCTACGTCTTTCTAAGAGAGTGCAGATTCAGGCCCTTATCTATCCTCATAGGGAAGGTTTCTGATACATGGGATCAACCTTGTCATCCTCCTTTGTACATTTTCCCAGAGAATTATATCCATCCTGTAATACGGTGACCAAAACTGTGCAGCACATAATCTAAAATGAGGCCTAACCAAGGATGTATAGAGTTTTAAAGAACAACCTGAGGACTCCTATTATTTATGTCTCTTGATATGAAGCCAAGGATTCTATAGCTTTATTGCGAATCACTTATGCACGTTTTGCTTGTTTTCATATTACTGCTAACCAAACTCCTAAATCTTTTTTCGCAATCCGTAATATTAAGATCTACATTATTTAATTTATAATGCATGTTATTGTCAGCTGTCCACATTTAAACTTCGAATTTGTCTATATTAAACTGCTAATCTGCTGCACTTCTCCGACCACTGCATCAGTCAGTTCAAATCTTCCTGGAGTGCTCGTTTCCTCGTCAAAATGAATCGACGGCCCTATTTTGTGTCATCGGCAAACTGCCGATGTCGCTCTTATGCCCTCATCTATGTCGTTTAATGTAGATTTTGAACAACAGGGGGCCCACACTGACCCCTGTGTACACCGCTCGTAAACGCTCCCCACTCTGATTTCTCCCATTTATGCAAACTCTCTCTGCTATTTGTCACCATTGCCTCTATCCAGGAAAAAAATTCTCCTCCTATTCCCATGTGCTTAATTTTCCTCAAATTATCTCTGATTGGGACCCTGTCAAAAGCCTTCTGAAGTCCATATACACAATTATCATATTCATTACCATGATCTACCTCCTCAAATACCTTAGTGAAAAAGTTAATAAATTCGTAAGGGGTGGGGGGGGGGGGGGGGGGGGGGGGGGGGGGGGGGGGGGGGGGCAGAACGCCCCTTTATAAAACCATCTGAGATTCGTTGATTATTTATGCCTTTTTCAAAGGTGGCTACGACTGCCTCGGCAATTATTAAAGGGCCTTAATTTTCCCACTAGTTTAGAGAGGTTTTGTTAGGGCTTATCGGTCTATAGGTTCCGAAGCTAAGGACCTGTCACCTGTTTTGAAAACAGTAGCACATTTGCCATTTTCCCACTTATCTGGCACCATGCCGTTTGTAGTGATATGTTGAAAAGATTAGCCTAAGGTTGAGCTATAGCGACTCGGTTCCTGGCCGGGTTCACCCTTGCATACAGTTCATCAGAGACCTGGGAGGTGGGGTTAGTTTTTAATTATCTATTTAGCCTAAGGACCATTCCACTCGTGACCTTCCTAATCGTGCACAGTTTATTCTCGTTCCTGTCTACATAATTTATCATTACTGAATATCGCTGGTATCCTCCTGTGTAAAAACTGACAGGAAGTATGTTAAAAATTCTACACATTTCCTTATCACTGTCAGTGAGCGACCCGAGGAACTTTGAGTGGGCCTATCTTTGTCCCTGATCTTACTTCTGTATACCTGAAAGGAATCCTTTTGGGTCAGTCTTCGATTGTCTTGCAACTTTAACCTCATAATCTCTTTTGCTTTTCTAATTCCCCTTTTTATTTCTCTCTTTAACTGAATTTATCGATTTCTTAATTGCCCCTTACCCTCTTTTGATTTGCCTTATATGCCCTCTTTTTGAACAATCAATATTTTAATCCTATTGTTCATCCCATTAGGATCATTCTGTTTGATCGGATTTTCCCATTTGGAACATAATTTGACTGAGGCAGCTAATGGAAAAAAAACTATGCCCTGGAAAGCATCATATCGGCAACATCACACCTACCGTGACCCTTAGTCAGTCATTGCCAGTTCACCCAAATGCGGATGGATTAGCGAATAAAAACCCCATGAGGAATGGCAAGAAAGAATCAATGAGAAGTACCCAGACATCATAGCAGTTAACATGTAACAAAACTCATGAAGACAATAACAGATCCAATCTCCCACCAGGATACAGATCATGAGGAAAAGATAGAAGGGGCAGAGGGGGAGGAGGTTGCTCTGCTCGTAAAAACAGATGGAAATTCGAGAAAATGAAGGTTATAGACGAGACGGGAGAAAGAGACTACATAGTAGGTACACTGCAGTCTTGGGAGCACAAGGTGGTCAATTGCAGTGATTATAATCCACCACAGAACTGCGGAGGCCAAGAGTGGAATATGAAGAGAGCAACAGAGCAATGGTGGACACACCTTGCTGAGGTGGCAAGAAGAGCTCTTCCTGCAGAGCAAAGTTGCTGTTATGGGGACTTCAATCAACCACAGGAGATTGACTGGGAAAACCTGGAGCCACATGGGGTCCCAAACATGGGAGAGCCAAGATTCCTGACGTGGTGCTGGAAAACCAACGTTAAGGACACTACACAGTGATAGGGGAGGATGACCAGCAAGATTGGACCTTATGTCACCCTGGGGCAGCTCAACATTGAGGACATCACTATGAGATCCCTAGGAGCTAGCGATCACGTAAGTTCTGTGCTTTGAATACATAGTAGATTGCAAGTGGAGAGAGTAATACGGAATGGAATGGGAAAAGCCTGACACAAAAGAGGGGACTACATAGGGTGAGGAACTTCCTGCGGGAGTTCAGTGGGACAGAGAACTGGCAGGAAAGCCAGTAAACGAAAATGATGGAATATGTAACAACAAAATGCAAGGAGCAGTGGAAAGGTTTATTCCAAGGGCAACAGAAACAATGGGAAGACCAGAAACGAGCCCCTGTTTACCCAACGGTGTAAGGAGGCAAAAACAAAGTGCAATAAGATGGAAAAAGTTCAGAAGGCAAGAACAACACAAAATAGGGAGATCAGTCCGCAAGAGCAGGAACGGAGATGCACGGGTAAGGAGGGAGGCCCAGCGACAGTATAAAATGACAATAGCATCGAAAATCAAGAACTGACCCCGAAACTGTTTGTATAGCCACATCAGGAGGAAACAACAGTCAAAGACAGGTGATCAGATTGAGACAGAAAGGTGGAGAACTCACAAGAAATGATCAGGAGGTAATGTGAGGAGGCTAAACATAGATTTAAGAAGTTGTTACAGTAGAGACAGGAAGGGCTGTGGGAAGACAGCACAGAAGAGGAACATCAAGAGTAATATACCAAACAAATATTGGATGACATACGAACAACCGAGGATAGAGGTGCAGAAACAGCTAAGCGACTTGATACCTCAAAAGGCGATGGGCCGGACATCTCCCCATGGGTCCCTTAGAGAAGGAGTAGAGATGCTGTGCGTGCCGTTTTCACTCCCCCTAGCAGGTTGTTCACTCACCTGGGGGCAGGTTGTTACACTCACCTGAGACAGGTTGTTACACTCACCCGAGCAGGTTGTTACATCACCGAGCAGGTTGTTAAAATCACCTGAGCAGGTTGTTCATCACCCGAGCGGTTGCACTCCCCCCTGGAAGGTTGTTTAAATCACCTGAGGAGGTTTTACACTACCCGAGGCAGGGGTTACCTCACCTGGAACAGGTTTTTACCTCACTGAGCAGGTTGTTTCCTCACCAGAGCAGGTTTTTAACCCCCACCTGAGGGAGGTTTTTAAATTCCCCGGGCGGTTTTTTCATTCACCTGAGGCGGTTTTTTTACACCCTGAGGAGGTTGTACACTCACCTGAGACAGGGTTTTTAACTCAACCAAGAAAGGTTGTTACACTCACCTGAGGCAGGGTTTTTACTTCACCTGAGGCAGGTTTTCATTCCCCTGAGGCGGTTGTTAACTCCCCGAGAAGGTTGTTACTTCACCTGAGCGGTTGTTACTTCCCTAGGCAGGGGGTTAATTTCCCTTTTAGGCAGGTTTTTTACACTCACCTGAACAACTTGTTACATTCACCTGAGACGGTTGTTACCACCTGGGAAAAGGGTTTTTACACTCACCCGAGGCAGCTTGTTTAATTTTAAAATGAGAAAGGTTGACCTCCCTGAACAGGTTGTTACACTCACCAAGACAGGTTGTTCACTCATGAGTAGGGTTTTTACAAATCACCTAAGAAGGTTGTTACATCACCTGCGGCAGGTTGTTTCACTTTACCTAAAACAGGGTTTTTACACACCCGCGGCAGGTTGTTCACTCACCTGAGGCGGTTGTTTCACCCCTGAGCAGGACTTTTACCTGGGCGGTTTTACTTCTGGGCGCTTGTTACATTCACCTGAGTCAGTTGTTTTTCATTCACCTAGGCAGCTTGTTACACTCACCCGAGACAGGGTTTTTAACCCCACCTAAAGGTTGTTTCACTCACCTGAGGCAGGTTGTTTCACTCACCTGAAAGGTTTTTACCTCACCTGAGAAGGTTGTTCACTCACCTGAGACAGGTTGTTTACACTCCCGACAGGGTTTTTACCCAACCTGAGCAGGGTTTTTACACCACCCGAGCCCGTTGTTACATCACCTGAGCGTTGTTTCATCACTGAGGCGCTTGTTAACTCACCCGAGCCCCCTTTTTTTTTTTACACTCACTGGCACTTGTTCATCACCTGAGGAAAGGTTGTTTTCACCACCGGGGCAGCTTGTTACACTCACTGAACAGGTTGTTTTCATCATGGGAGGTTGTTACACACCTGGACAGGTTGTTTCACTCACCTAGACAGGGGGTTTCACCCTGAGGCAGCTTTTACACTCACCTGAGGGAGGTTTTTTTAAAAACTCACCCGAACAACTTGTTACTTCACCACCTGGAGGTTACCTGGAGGTTATTCCGGGGATAACGCCCCGCGGCCCGGGGCCACACCAGGCCTCCCCATGGGGTCAGGGCCCGATCAAAATGGCTGTTACTACTGGGCCCCACGCAGTCCGGTACGACCACAGCCCCGGGTGATCCCGGGACGACTTTTGGGATCTGT